CACTAGGCAGCTTTGTAAATGCCCTGAAGCCTCTCCCAGGTCTTGGACCAAGTAAAAATAAAGCTTTTTGAAACAGAAAAAAATATATATAGAGAACATAAAAGACCACTGTTCCAACAATAGACACTGGGCAAAATAAAAAAAAATAATATGCATTGTCTATTATCATTTAATATCATCATCGCCATTATTATTAAACCCTAACCAATGCGCTAACATCTCAAAATCTAGATCAGTGGTTCGAGATCTTCCTAATGCTACAACCCTTTAAAACAGTTCTTTCTGCTATGGTGACTCCCACCATAAAATTATTTCATTGCTATTCATAACTGAACTTTTGCTACTGCTATGGATTGTAACGTGACTATGTGAGATGCAGGGTATCTGATATGTGGCCCCTACGGCAAGGGCATTTCACTGCCCAGGCTGAGAACCACTAGCCAACAGGAAGCAATCCCAGAGGGATTGAGCCTTTCCTAAGTGAGCAAAGCTCAGCTGTCACCCTTCTCTCTGGTCATAGCGGAATGAGGAGCTGATCAGTTTAAATTGTTCATTGTAGAAAGAGGAAGGAAGCTGCCACATCAAGTGGGGGCCTAGAAAGGTGGGTTAGGTCCAGGTGAGTGTGTCAGTCCACATGACCACATTTTAACCTGCAGTGTAATGGCCTGCAGGAAGCCAGGGCAGGGACAGCAGGTGGAGTGGCGCCGCACAGTCACCTGGGGACTGACACTTATATGCTCTTTCAGATGCAGATCTGATCCTGACTCCACACATCTGAAAGTATGGTAAACTGACAGTATCCCAAGCCAGCCTACCTCAAATCCCAATTCAGTAGAAGGCCTTCCCCTCCTTGGATCTCCCTCTGTCAGTTAAGAGGGGAGAGCTGGGGACTGAAGTCCATCCTGCTTCACCCATCAATCCTGTGAGCCCAGGCCAGTCTGATGGCTTCTGTTTCTGACTAATGAATCTTAGTTGTGATAAAGCCCAAGTTCTGGCCAGCTATGTATTAGCATATATATGCATGATTAAACAAAGCATGATTATATCAATTAGCATATACAGCTTTTTAAAAGTTACAGTATCTTTTAGACATTCATTTAAAATGACCTTATATCATTATATATGCACCAGATGATACTAGAAAATAACTAATAATTTCAGCAGTTATAACAGAATTTTTGTAAACATACCTCAGTGCTGTATAGATCCAACTCTAAGGCAGATTTATATTCTAATTTTGCCATCGCTCAAAACTGTGATGAGATTCCTGTGTTTTATTTTTTTTTAATGCCTCATTGCAAACTTATCTTCTTTTTTACTGCTACCACCTGCATGTGATACCAACCACAGTAAAGAAGTCAAATTGGTACTTGATGCCATGAAGACAGCAGTGGAGGATTCTAGATTGAATACAGAGAAATTAAAACAAACACAGAAGAGAGACAGAGCTTTGAGGTCAAAATGACCATTTTAAATTCAAAGAGCATTTCAACATATATGAAGTACCATTTTAGCTATCAAAAAAAAAAAAATAACCAAAAGGCCTTCACTGTTGCACCCAAAATAAAAAAGTTTATAGACTCCATATTGTCTTGCCAGGTTGCAAACTGGTATTTTATTTCATGGATCAGTTTATGGAGTTCTAAAAAGAAATGCTGGGAGGGAAAAGGATCAGCTTGTTCCTTCACCGGGAGCCCACAAAGTTTCCCAGAAATGCAAGCTCAGTAGCATCTCTGGGAAGGAAGTTCTCCCTCCCCTGGGGGCCTTGGCTGTGTTGGTCCATCCAGTCCCTACCCTATCCAGACACAAGCTACTAGACAGTTACTAAGGTTTATCTTTCAGGTAGGTTCAGTGACTCAGGGAAGCCCTGTTAGATTCCTCCTCGCCTGAAGGAGCCAGCCAGTCAGGACACTCTGGGGTCAGGTCTAAGGATCGAGTAAATAAAAGGTCAGTAGCAAGGCTCAGTTAACCTAGAGCTACTTTATTCAGCTAGACTGAACATGCTACCCTGGGATTAATCTGATTAACCTTTGCAGGAAACTTCAAGAATATACTTTACTAGTATTCCAGGAAGTTAATTTGCCAGGAGTTCCAAAGCCCAGGATTAGAAAGCTAATCCAAATGAGTAAAGCCTTACTAGTTAAGTCCAGTAAAGGGCCCAGCATCTTTCTCAATGTGGTGGAAGCATGGACGGAAGGTAGAAGCATGCAAAACAGAAGGACCAGAAGCAAGGTATGATTCTGTCTTCAGGGTCATGCCCTACCTCAGAGGCTTTCATTTCATCTGTGCTACACACTTGTGCCTCAGCACCTTGGAGGAAGCTGGTATAAGATTTGAGAGAAAGAAAGTAAAGATTGTTTTTGAAGCAAATTCAGAGATCTTTCTTTACAGCCCACATAGATGCTCTTAGTTTCTTCCCACATCCAACCCACCCTGACCACTCGTTTTATTTCCTCCATTAATGGCTAAACAGTCCAAAGTGTGTTCCAAAACTGTGAGCACAAAAATGCAAACACAAGCACCATTTGGTATTTGGTCAGCAATTCTAGCTGTCACTCCCTCAAAGAGGATGGCAGCAGGTCATCAGATAAACATCCCATTAGCTCATTGGCAGACATGCTGGGCAGCAGGTCACAAAGTGGCAGCTGATGAGGTGTCAGCTTGAATAAGGAGAATAAAACCCCATCCGACCTTCACATCACTATGTGCCTCTGTGTGAAGTTTCTCATCTGAGAAATCCACTCTCAATGGCCCAAACATGCTCTTTCCCATCAAGTATTTACTCCCTGCAGAGTGTCCAACCTACAGGCCACATGCATCTCAGAATAACTAGGGAGGTTCTCCACACACTTACAGATTAACAACACCATATCCCAATGTCAGAGGTGGAACACCTCTGCTAGTGGGTAGTGTTCACTACCAGGCAAATGCTAAGACCACCTGGGAATTGTTGCAAAGTCAAATGTCCAGGTTATACTCCAGACAAGCTATAGCAGATACATATGAGTAGCTGGCCAAGCTTGCCAGGTGATGCCAACACACCTAAAGGACTCAGAAAGAACATGGCAAAGTCACAGCCTCTGAACCCATGTTCATTATAAAGCAGATAACAGGGTTGGGGGAGAGGGGGAGACTGATCCAAAGAAACCAATCTACCAAGTGCATATCCATGAGTCAATATATCCTGAATCCCATTAAAGGGTACTTTAGTGATTATTAATTTTATGCTGAGGTCTGTGTCCCCTTCCCTTTTCGTTAAGGGTGTTGACAGCAAGTAAGAAAACTGTGTAATTGAGGCAGCATTCTTTCTCCTTGAACTTATTCATCATGGTCACTGCTAACTGTCCCTGCCACAGGCAGACAGCCCAAGAAGGGTAACAACAGCAAGCCTCGGGCAATGGCTGAACTGCACTGTAAAGCAATCCTGACATATTTCCAAGGTCACCAGAGCACCAAACTGAGTCACATTATATCCCCATAGCAAGACAAACGCAGAAGTACAGAGCAGGTTCCAGCCCAGGAAGAAATGCTATAGCCACCTGAACAATGCAGGTTATCCAATTGGGCCAGGGAACATTTTCAAGCAGACTGCTAGTGATACAGGACCATGAAATATCCTTAAGTACCTGACAACCCACACACGTTCAAACAGAGGTGCAGAGCGGAAAAACAGAGGGTTCCCTATCCAAACAACATGTCATTAAAAAAAAAAAAAAAAAAAAAAAAAAAAAAACCTTACAGCCAAGTCACAAGTCACATTCCAGCCCTATTAACCCAGGATGTGAGAGGACAGCTAAGTAAACAACCCTGGGAGAAGGTATGTCTGCTTCCCATGTGTATTGCATGTGCATGAAGGTCAACATCAGGCAACTTCCTCAGTCACTCCCTTACTTTCTGAGCCCTTCTCTTACTGACCCTGGCACTCACCAATCCAGCAGTACTAGCTGGCCAGTCAACCCTGGAAAGCCGCTTGCCCCTGCTCCCCAGTGCTGAGATTATGGACATGTACCTCCATACCCTGCCCTCTGTGTGGTTCTAGGTCCTTATGATCAAGTGTCATGTACTTTACTGACTGAGCCATCTCCCCAGGTCCCTAAATGGTACTTTTAAAGCAGTGGTTTTCACACATGATCATGTATCTGACTAAACCAGGCTGTGATACTCTAGACACTGCAAGTCTAACATGAGGCTGGAGGATGTTATGTACTGAAAAGTTCCCAGTAATACAAATGCTGCCCACCCAGGGTTTCATAGGTTGCCCAGGCAACTCTCATTATAGCATCCAAGGCTGAGGACCAGTGTATTAAAAAGCAGGTAAGCTCATCAGGGAAAGTTGTATCCCAGGTATGCTGCAGCCTGGTACTTGGTAACAAGGCGTTCTGGCCTCTAGTTGCTCCTGATGCCTAAAACTAAGGCTGAGCATGAGGGTACATCTTTAATCCCAGCACTTGGAAGACAGAGGCAGGTGGATCTCTGAATTCAAGGCCAGCCTGATCTACAGACTGAGTTGCAGCCAGAGCTACACAAAGAAACCCTATCTTGGAAAAACAAAACAGAAAACTAAGGCTCTTTTCCAATGAGAACTGGGTTCCTTGTAGAAATAAAACATTTCAAAGGGCAGTTACACATGAAATGTCAGCACAAATATACATAGAAAGAAGGTGGCTTTGGGAGCAATGGAGCGGCTTCCAAAATATCCTCATATGACCATAACAATTTCTGTTAACAATAGGTGATAAATATTAGCTGGTGACATTGTAGTCATCTTAATCTAAATGCATCACTCTATGATGTTCAAGCAGTTAGGAAATTGACCATAAAATTCTCAGCACTATATCCCTGCCATCACATGAGACGTGGCTACATAAAGAAGGCAAGTTCTCACTTAGGACTTCAGTGCATGAGCCCACAGAGTGTCAGCTGTGCATGTTCCATTCCATCCCCTCCACTGCATCCCCTCACCTGCCACTACTGTGCAGTGCTGCCCGGGCTCCTCCACGTCAGCAGACGGACTGGGGGGCGGAAGACCATTTGCGCCTGATCAGATGCTCTCTTCCACTGAATGGGCCTCCTGAGTTGTTGAGGGGCTGGATGAACACCTGCTCCTGCTTGAGCTGGATGAGGCCAACCTACCCAGAAAGGAGAGAAGGAGACATTGGTTGGTCATCCTCATTCACTCATGCTCCTGGCCCCAGTTGCTTGGGCTTGTGTTTGCCATGTCTGGGCTTGTGAATTCTTTGTTTGCTGCAGAGCCCCACAGTGAGCCACCACCTCCCTTAAAGGTCCCCCATTGAGTGGTTGTATTGGGAGGTTTGGAGGGGTAGGTATCCATGACTGATAAAACACCAAAACAATTTGTGGAGGAAAGGGTTTATTTCACCTACAGACTATAGCATCATCAAGCAGGAACTGATGGGGAGACTATGATGGAGAGTGCTGCTTGCTAGTTTGCTCAGTCTGCTTTCTTATAGAATCCAGGACCAACAGCCCAGGGGTGGCACCATCCACAATGGGTTGAGCCATCCCCATCAGTCAGTAATTAAGAAAATGTCCTGTAGACTCATCTACAGGCCAATCTGGTAAGGGATTTTCTCAGTTGAGAGTCGACTCTAGCCTGTGTCAACTTGACATGAAACCAGCACAGTGCAAGGAGTGGGGGAGTGTAAAACTACTGTGGGATGCAGATATGTGCCCTTGTATTTATTTTCCAAGTCTGCGTGTGTACATTCACATATGCACATACATGCACACACATACATAAAAGTGCATCTGAGTGTGCACAAGGAGGTTAGGGAAAGCTTTTAGGAGTCAGTTCTTTCCTTCTACTATGCTGTTCTCAGGGATCAAACTTATTAGGCTTGGTGGCAAGCATCTTTACCCATTAAGCCATCTTCCCAGCCCCACATCATTTAAAGTCTCTCTCTCTCTCTCTCTCTCTCTCTCTCTCTCTCTCTCTCTCTCTCTCTCTCACTCACTCTCTTTCATACACACACACACACACACACACACACACACACACACACACACAAGCAGGAGGGAGAGGAGGCATGGAGGAGTGAAGAGAAAAAGAAAGAGGCAGACAGACAGATGGATGGACAGAGAGATATGCTAGGAGTTGAACCTAAGCCCTGCCATGGACTGTGACATGCTAGAAAAGTACTCTACAACCAAGCTATAGTTAAAGCCCTAAAACCAACCCTGTTACAAATCCATTTGAGGCGCTGGAGAGAGAGGTCATTTCAGCTAAGGAGTTATGAGCACTTGTTACTCTTGCAAGGATTGGGTATCTCCCAGCAACTACGTAGTGGCTCATAACTGTGTTTAAACTCTGGCCCTAGGAGCTCTATCTCCTTTTTCTGGCCTCCTTGGGCACTGCATGCATGTGGTGCATAGACATACATACAAGGAAAATGGTCATACATATTAAATAAATCTCAATGAAGTCTATTCCAGCTCTTGAGAGAATGAGGCAGGGCGATCAAGAGTTTGAGGCTAGCCTGGGGTAAGTGAGAACCTGTCTCCAAAATGCAAAGGCATGGTCATGTGGTGATCAACAGTGGAGAAAACCTTCAAACTGTGGGCCAGAACATTGTGTTCCTAATGAGAAAATGTATCTTATCCCTCCTTGAGGATATTTAAACTGAACACCAAGACAAAAGGACCAGTCCCAGGTGTAGTATTAATGACTAGGGGGTGGAGACATGTAAATTTCTACCATGAACTTGCAACATTCAAGAAGCTGAGATACTGTTCACCTTAGAAGCAGTATCTGGGTGTGTAAGAGAGAGCTCAGGTCTTCCTATATCTATGAGAGCAGGCTGTCAGGCTAAGAATGGCTTATGTAATCTCATACTCTAGTGACAGGCCTGATTTCAGATGGCCAAAAGAACTTGAAAGTGAAATTGAATTGCTAAATACTAACAGTGAAACACACACACACACACACACACACACACACACATACTTGTAAATGAGCCTAAATATAACTCAAAAGCCTCTTAAAAGTGAGTGCAAATACTTGCTATTCAATAAGATTTATAAGTCAAACAGAAAGCTTAAAAAGTGTGACTTTCTAATTTGTCATTTCTCTTTCTCTGGGACATGGTCTATATAGTACTGGCTGGCCTACAACTCACAAAAAATCACCTACCTCAGTCTCCAGAGTGCTGGGATTAAAATATGTACCAAAGTGCTCAGCTTAATTTGAAAATTTAATAAAGTAAATATTAGTTGGAGTTGGGGCTATGCAGAGGACTTTCCCTGGAAGGGAAAACTGACTGCACTGAGAGAGCTTGCCCTCCCTGCCTAAGGCACCTGCTGTGTGTCTCTTCTTATACACAGTCAGCAAAATAAGAAAAACCTCTCACAAAAAGCTGAAGGACCCACTTTAAACACTGGTCCATGGAGTATCCCCCTCTCCTGAGCCACACACAGCTCAGGGCTGCCTTGGCCAGCAGATTCAGATGAGGCAGACCCACCTTAGGGACATGCACAGACTCTGTGTGTGTGTGTGTGTGTGTGTGTGTGTGTGTGTGTGTTTGTGTGTGTGTGTCATTTCTCCTTCCATATCTAAAGCCATGACAAGGATGAGGAGATGCTTCTGTTGGTAAGGAGCTTGCCACACAAGTATGAAAGCCAGACATGGTGGCACATGCTTATAACCCCAACACTGGGGAAGAGGCAAAGATAGGAGTATCCCTGGGGCTCACTAGTCAGTCAGTCCAGCCTACTTGGTATGTTTCAGGCCAGAGAGGGTTCATGGCTCATAAAAATGTAAGATGTACAAAATCTAGGGAAAGATACCCAGGTGATGGGAGAGTCATTCTGTAAATATGTTTCTCATATTGGTTAATGAATAAAGCACTGTTGGCCAATAGGAAAGCAAGAGAGGAGGGACTAGGAGACAAGAAGGAGAGAGGAAGGAGTAAGGAGGAGTCAAGATGGAGAGACTGAGGAGACCAGACGCAGGCCCCATTCCCCGGTAAGATGAAAGCACGTGGAAATACATAGATTAACAGAAATAGGTTAATACAGAGTTAGCCGATAAGAAACAAGTACCTGGCCAACAGCATTATATCAAATACAGAGTCTTGGTGTGTTAATTGGGGCTGGCGCGGCAGCAGGACAAGACCAGTGGCGGGAGGAAAAACCTACTCCTTACACTCAGGGTTGACCTCTGGTCCCAAACCATGTGTGCACATCTCATACAAAGAAACAACAACATACTGAACCAAGGGTTCCAAGCCCTGTGCAGCAGAATTTCCTGGAGTAGGGTTCAACTGTGTAAACTTCTAGCAAGTCCTTCAACAGTAACAGACACTGCTGGTCTGGAGGGTAGTTTAAGAATATTATCCTCTGCACAGCATTGCAGCTTCTCTTATCTCAAGCCTCGATCCTCTTCCTCAAGCCAAATGAGATGGGTAAGTTCCACTGTGCTTGGAGAGCAAATCAACTTCTCAAATCACCAACGGCCTAGAGTCCTTCCCAACATACAGTATAAAACCATACTTCTAGCTCTAAGCAGATCTCAAGGTTTCCATTTCATTAGAACCTTTGCCAAGAACAACTCACAGATTTTACTGCCTAAATGAAACTGTCTCTGAGTAGCTCTGCACAATCTGCAGGAGAGCCAGCTTTTCTCTCTCCCCCCAATCTATCTCCTTAGAGGCAAAAACTTGAGTTTGCTCATTCAGATACCTTGAAGAGTGAAGTGGAGAGGGGTTGTGCAGAAAGAGGCTCAAGTGCAGAACGCTCCTTCCCTAACAATTGGCTCTCAACTCTAATGAAAGGCTGGATTCCTCTGGAAGCACTCTATGGGAGGCCAAAGCCAGCTCAAGTTCCCAGTGCTTTCAAATCCAGTTATCTCCCCATCCAGTGGAAATCAGATATCAGCCATACAAGGTTTGGAGCTGCAGATGTTACTCTGGTGGGAAATCCTTCACACACACACACACACACACACACACACACACACACACACCCCAACCCCTACACCTCTCTCTCTCTCTCTCTCTCTCTCTCTCTCTCTCTCTCTCTCTCTCTCTCTCTTTTGGAAAGGTTTTTCTCAGGACATCTTTTCTTGGAGATCCCACATGGATCTTTTCTTTCACTGGTTAAGAGGAGGGCAGTGGTGGGGTGGATAAAGGAACAGCAACTGTACTTTACCTGGCAGCTCCTGATCCTCGTGGGACCTTATATTCAAGCAGAGACATGACTAGGATGAGGATGCAAGAGAAACAACTACATGAAGTTTTCAGTCTGTGGGCTAGTCATAGAAAGACCCCACCATTTTCCCCCTCCCTGGGTCTTAGTCTCATCATCTAGGGACTCCTTGTGAGTCTCTAACACTCAACTGATCTACACAGGCCCAGGAATAAGATGATTTGTGTCCCATAATTGTGTGAAACTTGTATCAAAAGAACTTATATGCTGCTTTTATCCATCACCCACAACATTACCTTTAAGTACTCACCAACCCTCCTTATATTTCCCTACCCTCTATTCTTTTCCATAAGTCCCCTTCCCGGCAGTCCAATGTCTGTCCCCATGTTATCAGACATTTTCACAACCTAATAGTTCCACTGAGACTACCCTTCCTGATTCTTTTCTCAAGTGTGCCACATCACAGTTCATAGGCAAACTGAATGGACTGTCCCTACTATCACTAAATTGGATAGCCCACAGTGATATTCACTGGGGATTGTCATCCCAGGCTACAAGATGTATGGTATCACATGAAGAGCCCTGACATCCTGGCCCCACTCTAGGAGGGAATAGATAGAATGCAAGCACAGATATTTATTTTGAAACTCATTGGGAAACCCAGTGGACAATCACAGACAAGAATCACCTTGATAGCTTTGAACAGCATGTAGAGACTCAATCTACTACCTGCCTTGACTTTGATGCCTAGAAGCACCTGGATTTATAACCTGGGCCACCCAATGACTGTTAGGCTGTAGCACGGTGCTGTGGCCCCAAGAGCTCTGGCCTATATTAAGTCTCCAGTCATCATCCATGACAGAGAGATCAACATACTGAAATGCTTCTCAAGGCCTCTGTTTTCCAGGGATCACAGCACTCCAATGCAGGAGGCCACCAACAGCCTCTGCAGAGATAGCAGGCAAAG